CGTGAAGAAAATTATGAGGCTTCACGGTGTTCCGTTAACAATTGTGTCAGATCGTGACAGCCGTTTCACATCGCGATTTTGGAGAAGTCTACAAGAGGAATTGGGTACCAAGTTGTGTTTGAGTACAACTTACTATCCACAAACTGATGATCAGAGCGAACGAACAATACAAACGCTTGAAGATATGCTGAGAACATGTACCTTGGAATTCCAAGGTAACTGGGATGAACATTTACCTTTGGTAGAATTTTCCTACAATAATAGTTTCCACTCGAGCATAAAGATGGTGCCTTATCAATTTATGTACGGACAAAAATGTTGTACGCCGTCTTGTTGGCTTGAGGCTGGGGAAAAGTAGTTTATGGGACCAGAGATAATCCATCAAACTATTGAAAAGTTGAAAATAATTCGGGAGAGAATGTTAGAAACTCAGGATCGTCAAAAGAGCTATGCTGACAACAAGCGAAGACCGATGACTTTTGAAGTTGGAGATTCGGTTTTACTTAAAGTCTCACAGTGGAAGGGAATTATAAGATTTGGAAAAAGAGGAAAGTTTAGTCCAAGGTTTATTAGACCGTTTAAAGTTCTTCAGAGGATTGGGAATCAAGTTTTTAAGCTCGAATTACCCGAAGAATTGAATGGAATTCATAACACTTTCCATGTGTGTTATTTGAGGAAGTTCACGGGAGAAGTTCCTGAAATGATTCCACTTTCGGAGTTAAGAATTGATGAGAACAAAAGGTTGATTGAAGAACCAGATGCAATCATTGACCGAAACACTAAGAAGTTGCGACACAAGATGGTCAAATTAGTGCTTGTCCGATGTAAACATACGAATGAGCCAAATCTCACTTGGGAAACGGATAGTGACATGATGAGTCGTTATCCGCATTTGTTTTTTAATGTGTGATTCCGGAGACGGAATCATTCTAAGGTGGAGAGAATTGTAATGCCCGTGTTTCTAGGCTAGACATTAATGATGATGTAACAGTCTAGGTTAACCTTTGTAACCCGTTTTGAAATAATAGAAGTGTATTATTTGAGTATTATGTGTTTTGTGCTTAACTGTGCGACTTAATTGAATTAAGTATAAAAATAAGCACCAAAATGAAATGTTAGATAAAGCCGATATCTATAGATAATGTTGTAACAGTTGAAACGAGGTTTCCGAATATATAAAGAATGCCGACATCCGAGTTATAACGAAGAAGTTATGACCTGTCGAAGTTTCGCGACAGAACCGATGCGACACTGCGTGACGTAAAATATAAATTTAAGTTAGAGCGATATTTAGCCCTGGTGATCTAATCGAATGTTGTAGAGTTCGTTAAACCGAGAGTGTGGATGAAAAAGAATGCCCAAATCTGACTTCGTATGAGAAAATTATGATTTTTCTAAGTTTTAGCTTAACGGTATGCAACCCGAATACTCGATTTGAGATCCAACGGTTTTTAGCCGAAGCAATCTAAACGAGAATCGAATATCTCGTCGATAGTAGTCCAACGACAAAAAGACAGACGAAAACGGACGTCGGATGAAGAAGTTATGAATTTATAATGGAGTTTTCCTGTCCCGTCCTACTAAAAATAAATAATAAAAATAAAGTCAAAATTAGCCGAAGAAGTCTAAACGAAAGTTGTAGAGCATAGTCCCGCCTACGCGTGGATATAAAGAATGTCGAAAATGAAGCTAGTATGCGAAAGTTACACAATTTAGAAGTTTGATTAATCGGGTTACGCTAAGCATAATGGAGTACGCCCAGCGTACCCATATGCATGAACTGAAATGGGCCACGTCGACCTGACCCAACACTCGAGTACCCAAGATCGTAAGCAATGACGTCTTCGGCCTGATTCGAAGCGTACGCCCAACATACCGAGTATACCCAACGTACCTGGATTTACGCCCAACGTAATTAAGGTTTCAGCACCCTATAAATAGATGTCGAGGGCTACCAATTTCTTTTGTTCAAACTCTTCTCTCTCTCTCTCTCTCTCTCTCTCTCTCTCTCTCTTTCTCTTTCTCATTTTTGCATCGTTTTGCGTGCAAGAAATATCCCGAAGCCCCGGTATCATTCCCGAGCCCCGAAACAAGCTTCGAAGCCCCGAGGATCCCGAGAAGTGAGATTCCCGAGCCGAGGCTCTACCCGCGAGAAGCCCGGTTTTTGTGAAGATCTCTCGGTTTCACCAAAGAATACTACTTCTACAAGCCGTAGCGCTGTCCGATCATCTTCTGATCAAGTGAGTATATATTCGTTTTCTTCTAACACACAGATATGAAGTATTCTATATAAAATGCGTGCTATGTGCTTATATATTATTTGTTTATTTGAACTAGTTGTTGAACATATGTTTTGTACTGGTTTTAAGCTGTATATAAATGTATATATTTTTATCTACAAAGATGTTGGGGTAGAACATGGGTAGATAGTAGATATGTGATGAAATAAAATGATGAGAGGCCTCGATGTTGTTGTTGATCTAGTCATCTAGCGGAGTATGGATGACGACCACAGACTCTTTCTAGACTGTCCTGTGGAACGCTAGCAGGCTCATAACCTGTAGGTGTTGTGAACGATGTGTTTCACCGGTGTACTCCATCCCCCTCATGGTTGCCTTTAGGACATCTATTATCAAGGAAACCCCTTTGTAGTAATGTCCGTCCCGATGAAAATCCTAGATTAGGTTCCTTATAATAGTTGTTGTCATAGGGACGTAAAGTGAGGATAACGGGAATGGGTAATTGAGTTATTGTTGGTTGATGAACTAAATATAATTATTTATTATGGGTTGAAAACCCTATATGCTCACCAGACTCCCAAGCCTGACCCACTCAGTTTTTCTTTGTATTACAGGAAGTGGCACGAGAGCATAAGTTGGATGACATTGTCAAGATATTTTTGGATTATAGACTAGTAGTTATATGTAACTGTTGTAAGGTCTATTTTGTATTGTTTATGCTTTTGGTTTGTATCGGAACATGACATCCCGATGTTTTGTTATTTAATGAAAATACATTTCTTTAAGAAATGTTTTGATAAATTTTATCTTATCATATTTTGTTTTGGGAACAAATTCCGCAACCCTTTTTAATTAAAGGATTTACTCTGAAATTATTTTAAATACATAAATTAAATTGGTTTTTTCTAACCGTGATTTTGAGGATGTCACAAAAATAGTTATGGGATTAGACACCTAATTCAACAAAAGTATGAGAAGAGTTGTCATCAGTCTGATTAAGATGATCAATGTCAACTTTAGCATTTGATGTTGATGTTAAACATGTTTGTCGACTTCATATCCATACGAGAAGAACTAACCATAAAAAAATTACTTAATGTTTTTATTACAATTGTTTGTACTTTGATTTCAATAATAGTTGAAAAACCTCTTTATTCCCCTAAACATGTAATTGGCATTGGCATATACTATCTCATTGATTTCCAATTCATATTTTTCAACTCATTTGTAATAAAATGGCAAATGATTCGTAATAAATTATTGATTTTATTCACGTTTGATCCCTTTTCTTTTTGTGTACGCAATATACTATTGAACTTATTGTTTGTGTTCACCATAATCTTTTTGACCGGCTATTACAAGTGATAGCCGGTCAAAATGGTTATGATGAACATAATCAAAAAGTTCGACGGTACTTTGTATACACAAAAAATGGATTAAATGTGAAAAAAAAAAAAAACTAGCATGATTATTCATGAACATGGTTTGAGATACTGTATTGGTATTAGTGATGAGTGTATACTATCGTACATATTTACAATGGTACACTAAAAACTACATGCAAAACCTTGGGCCACTTTTCACCACCAACCAGGCAACCAACATATGATAAAATAATAAAAAATTCTCTCAAAATGCTAAATTATTTTGTATTCTTGCGGATTAATTGCAGAATAGCATTGACAGAACATGGAGCTAGTAATGTATCGAGATAGGTATATAGAGTATTAAACTCAATAATTACATGGCATCGGTCCATTTGCATTAACCCAACACTTCGCTTTTATTTTTTGAAGTAGACTAGTAAATATACGTAAATCGTTATAAAAAAAAAATTAACCATGTCATTTTTTGAGTTTATATTTTATTAAGGGTTAAATACCAATGTATTTTAAATGAACTTTTATCTTGGATGACGTATTTTTATGTAAATCACAATATGTTTTTATTATTGTTCGACCAAAATTCAACCCATTTTTCCTTAGCCACATCAACAACTTATTTGACTATTACATTATGTTTTTATTTGCATTAAATTATAAAAACACGTTGTTAAAACTTGAATAAAATAAATAAATATTAAGGTATTCTACATAAAACTGGATTATCCAACCATTCAGTTATGTATTATTTTGAGTCAATTACACGAATGGTCCCTATGGTTTAGGGTAATTTGCGTGTTTGATCCTTAACTTATTTTTTTAATTCGGAAGGTTTCTACTGTTTGTTTTTGTTACATATTTGGTCTCTATCTTAGCTAAAAAGACTATTTTGTCATTGATTTTTTTAATTTATTTAGATAAACACACTCCTAACCTCACCTCTTCACTTTACCTTACATATCCCATCAATTTTTTCTATTTAAATAATAGTATTTTTAGGTAAAATAAGGACCAAGTGCGTAACAAAAACAAATAGTAAGGACCAAACACGTAATAAAATCAATTAATAGGTACCTTCCGAGTTAAAAAAATAAGTTAGAGACTAAACGTGCAAATTACCCCGAACCATAGGGACCATTCGTGTAATTTACTCAATTATTTTATTTAAAATTTAAAATTTAAAATAAGATTGAACTTATAACTGGATAAACATTAATGTATTTATCATGTTTATAAATATTTAATTACTGTAAAAAAAATAAAAATAAAAAACTTTGAAGGTTTGGAGGGGCGGGGGATGAATATTGGCTTATATATACCCCACCCCCAAAACTCTTCTCCTCCTCTCTTTCCTCTTCAATTTCTTGCTCAATCAAAAATGGCAGCCAACAATGGAGTCGCTAAGGAGGGAGGATTGATCGTCAGCTTCGGCGAGATGCTGATCGACTTTGTACCGACAGTTTCCGGCGTATCGCTGGCGGAGGCGCCGGGATTTTTGAAGGCACCAGGTGGTGCTCCGGCAAACGTCGCGATCGCGGTGTCACGGCTCGGCGGAAAGTCGGCTTTCGTCGGTAAGTTAGGAGACGATGAGTTCGGACACATGCTCGCCGGGATCTTGAAGGAGAACGGCGTCTCCGGCGAAGGAATCAACTTCGATAAAGGAGCACGTACTGCTCTCGCATTTGTTACACTGAAAGCCGACGGCGATCGCGAGTTCATGTTCTACCGAAACC